AATATGGATAACGATCTTAAGGACCAAGAGATTTATTTTTTTGTTGTTGTTAATTTCATTAATGGCTGTGTCCAAGTCTCTTTTTAAGAACTAAGAAATTATTTAGGATGGAATACTTTACTTATTTCAAAGTTAAATGCCAGTTGTTGTGCTTGGTATAAGACCATAATGATTCCAGGACCCATTGAAGATATTCAGTCTGAGCTCTGAGGCTGTGGTTTATCTTGTTCAGTTTTTAGACTCTCCACAAAAACATTTCTATAAAGAAAAATATCCTCAGCTAAGGAACATGGAGGAACGCCAGGCACTTAGCTGATCTTTGTAAATTGGCAGGCTTAGAAAAACATCTTCCAACTGATTTTCAGACACAGCATTAGCAATCAACAAATATTTTCTGAGCATTGCACATACACATGAAGAATTTCTTTGAAATAATATGCTAGAAAAATAGGATGTGCTCTTAAGGGTGATGTTGGACCCTGCTTCTTCTTGGAGACATAATGTGCCTATTCCTACTCTCTCATACAGCTTTGTGAAAGTGGCAAATGAAACTTTAGGGGAGAAATGGTATAAATCAAATGAGTACCCATTTGTGTATGCTCAAAGAGAAAGATGCAATTTAAACTATAAGTCAGTATTAAAGTTTCCATCATGTGTGTGCACCTGCTTGTGTGCCTGTGTGTATGTGGGTGTGTGTGTGCATGTGCCTGTTTGGAAACTGAGGATGAAGGTAGTTAGAAGGTTAGGTTTAAAACGATGTCAGTGAATAGCCTTGAAAAGAATAAAATACTTAGGAATAAATTTAACCAAGGAGGTTAAATATCTGTATACTGGAAGCTATAAAACATTGATGAAAGAAATTGAAGAAGATGAAAATATCCCATGTCCATGGATTGGAATAATTAATATTATTCAAATGTCCATACTACCTAAAGTGATCTATCTACAGATTCAGTGCAATCTCTATCAAAATTCCGATGGCATGTTTCATAGAATTAGTACAAATAATCCTAAAATTCATATAGAATCACAGAAATTCTCAAGAGTCAAAGAAATCTGGATTAATAAGAACAAAGCTATAGGCATCACTCTACAGACTATACTCTGTAATACTGTATACTCCATATTACAGAGTTATAGCAATCAAAACAGTGTAGTACTAATATAAAAACAGGCATATAGACCAATGGAACAAAATAGAGAGCCCAGAAATAAACCCACACATAAACAGTCAACTAGTCTTTGACAAAGGTGCCAAGAATACACAATGGGGAAAGGATAGTATGTTTAACAAATGGTGGTGGGAAAACTGGATATCCACATGCAAAAGAATGAAATTGGACCCTTATCTTAAACTACACACATACACACACACACACACGTGGATTAAAGATGTAAACATAAGATCTGAAACCATAAAATTCCTAGAATAAAACATAGAGAAAAGCTCCTTGACATTGGTCTTAGTGATGGTATTTTTGGGTATGACCCTAACAGCATAGAAGACAAAAGTAAAAGAAGACAATTGCAACCGCATCAAACTAAAACGTTTCTACACAGAAAAAAAAGTCAACATAATGAACAAGCAATCTATAAAATGGAAGAAAATATTTGCAAGCCATATATCTGATAAGAGATTAATATCCAAAATATGTAAGGAACACATACTACTCAATAGCAACAAAATATCCCCAGGAAACAACAAAAACAGCCCCAAAACAAAAAAGTAAATAACGTAGTTTAAAAATGGGCAAAGGACCTGAATAGACAATTTTCTGGAGGAAGCATACAAATGGACAACAGGTAAATGAAAAGGTGTTCAACATCATTAATCATGGTACAGCCATTGTGAAAACCAGTATAGAGGTTCCTCAAAAAGTTAAAAATAAAACTATCATATGATCCTAGCAATCCCACTATTGAGTATATAGTCAAAGGAAATGAAATCAGTACCTTGAAGAGATATCTACAATCTCATGTTCATTGTAGATTTATTCATAATAGCCAACGTATGGAAACAATGTTACTGTCTATCGATGGATAAATAAAGAAAATGTGGTATAGACATATACATCAGAACATTATGTAACCATAAAAAAGAAGTTAATCCTGCCATTTGCAACAGTATAGATGAACCTGGAGGATAGTATGCTAAGTGAAATAAGCCAGATAAGAAAAGATATTGATAAATACTGTATGATCTCATTTTTGTGTGGAATCTAAAAAAGTCAGACTCATAGTAGAAGAGTAGAATTGTGGTTACCAAGGGTTGGGGGCTGGTGAACTGGGGAGAGGTTGGTCAAAGGGCACAGACTTTCAGTTACAAGATGAGTAAGTTCTGGGGATCTAATACACATAATTGTGATTATAGTTGATAATACCGTATTGCATACTTGAAATTTGCTAAAAGAGTGGATCTTCAGTGTTCTCACCACACACACAAAGAATGGTAACTATGTGAAGAGAGGGAGGATGTGTTAATTAACTTGATTCTGGTACTCATTTCACAATGTATACACACATTATAGCATCATTCTGTACATCTTCAATATATACAATTTAATTTTTCAATTAGACTTCAATAAAGCTGGAAAACAAACAATGTGAGTGGTTAACCTTTTTATATTTCTTTGAAATACTGGATTGTCTCCCTCCTCCCCTTGCTCTGCCATTTAAAGACTGTTCTGTGTGGGAAGAGAAAGGAAAAATCTTAATCTGCCAATAGCATCATGAGAAGCTGTGGCACATAGCTCTTTTACATTTCTCTTTGACCCAAGTCCTCGTCATATGTAGCTGAATCAGTTTAACACTGCCGTGGATGTGGGTCTCATTCGTTCCAGCGAATATATTTGGCTCTGCCATTCAAAAGAAACATGCAAATACTCGTCTTTGCAAATTCAGACACAGACACCATTAGCTGTGGGAATCAGTGACATATGATTTTTGGATGGACAGATTCTGCTGCAGAGGGTGGTTAGATTCTATTTAGGGGGTAATCTCTTCTGATTTGTGTTGTTGGGAGCAGAACTGGTGTACTTTTTATTTTTTACTCGGGACCTAATGGAAAGATAAGTTATATTCTATTTGGAGGAAAAGGAGAAGGAATACAGTGGACCTGGTATATACTTGGAAGTTAAAAACAAGCAAGAACTGACTTTTTAAACTTTCCTTTCGGAGGGTGAATTCTTCCTGGTGTGTGCGTGCATCTAAACTCTGCCAGGAAAATCCCCAGAGAACAGCCTGTGCTTCCTTTTTTGCGGAGCGTGGTCACACCCAGTGGCCAGTTAGGCTAATCGCACGTGTAGATTCCCCAGGGGTACCTGAGAAAGAGCAGCGGACCTCAGCCACTTCCCCGTGGATGCCAGAGGCCAATTTGGATAATAGCAGAACCACCTTGTTCCTTTGCTTTGTTCCAAAATGTAGTGCCTGGGTAGGAAAAAGCCCCACACCATTCATGATGTTAACAATAGCAGCATTAACAGTCATTGGACTCCTACCGAGTCTGTTATTCTTTAAATTAGGACCTATGAATATAATGAGGTGGATTTTCACAGGAACAAGGACAGGCTGAAACAAAGAGGTATTGCTTTTTATTCTTATTTCCCTTTGTTTGTGCATAATTTAAACATTTTGAACCTTAACTGTTCTTTTCATTTTAGTTTTGAATTTGGGAGCGATCTAATGTTAATGTTGGGGAAAAAAAAGGACCACCTTTTTGAATGCAAATAGGGGCAGAAACCCTATTTATAAAAATTTAAAGAACTGTATGAAACAACTCCAAAACATAGCATCTCCCATTAGCATCACAATGACATTTTTCTTTCTTGCTTGCTTGATTTTTAAAATTCTCTTAGTAGATACGATGAAGGCTCCATTTTCACTCAGGGGCAGGCATGACTCATGGATACAAGCATTGAAGTTGTGTTTGTGACTTGTGCCTTTTGTTAGGCTGATAATAAAGTAGAATTTGTGTCTATGGGAGGCTTCTCACCAGATGAAAACTTAGCCTATTTCTTTTTAGGAGAGAGCCTCTTATGGTCTTGTTTCCTTGGGCTGTGGATACATTTTTCACACTTTATGAGGTCTTTTAAGGGCCTCATATGGTACCAGGTTCTTGTATCAGCTCTGATGTTCATCACACTTACAACTTAAATCAAGCTTCACTTTTCTAATTGAATGGTCCTCTGGGCACCTAGTCCATTGTGATCTTGCTCTTGTCTGAAGTTCAATCATTTGGCACTTTTCAGAAAAAACAGAGACTTTAATCACCCCAAATAAATTGAAGCCAAGCAATCTGAATCTGAGTCCTCAGCTCCAAGCCTAAGGAGCAGTTGACCTGGATTTGAAAATTACTTGGCTTCCACCAGAGTGACTCAGTCTCCTGTAAAATTGGGAGGGTGTACTAGAAGATCTCTAATGTTTCTTCTAGCTCCTTGAGAGAGTAGCTTTAATCAGAACCTCTTTCCTTCTCTTAACTCATTTCCACAACCCATTATTTTCTTCTCAAAGCTATTCATTTCTTAATTAAAGACAGATATTTATAATGAGTTCTGCAGTCTCTGGGCTAGTGCTTTGAGTCCTGTTCCCCCTCCCTCCTTTATTTCAGTGCTTCCTGTAAATCCTGCAGCCAGGATCTACCATCAAACACCTCTTGTGTGGGTGGTGGTGTGTGTTCTTGTTTTATTAAAGTGGAACTCTTGTGTTTGTTCCAATGCACAGATCGTTTCCCACTTGGTGCTCATAAGGAGAAGACCTATATTATTTTATAATGAAAAACAAAACTTGCATTCATTGTGCTGCTTGATCCTTCTTCTCCATCTGCCCCTTACCAACCTTAGCCCACTCGAACTTCCCTCTTTTATAGAGTTCTTGAGGCTCCCAAGTGACAGAATAATAATGACTGACATATTTTTTGCCAGGAAGGTGTTTAAGGGGGTCACATAGGAAGTTACATGACATTCTTATTTGATGGGCTCACTTTCAGTTATTTCTTTAAACAGGTAGAATATTGTCCTGCCAGGGGGACTTTGCAACCCTTCTTCTATGGTCCTGGTAAGAAAAAACTGATATGCCAATAAGAATGCAGAGGCAAGGAGAGCATCCTACCCATCAATGCAGCCGCAGTGAACCCCTCTTCACCAGCTGCACCAAGTGTCACCAGCTACAACCTGCTTTGGCAGAATTCAAAGAAAATGAAGCCTTCACTCCAAACCAAAATTTAAAGGTTTAGAACTTCAAGATAGAAGTTTGACAAAATGGATAGTAAATACCGCGTGTGACCATGGCCTTTAAGCAAGAAGGCGATTGGTGATTGTTGTACTTCAGTCCCGTGGTAATCACCTGGAGAGCGCTTGCTAAGTCTGGGTGCTGGGACCCACCCCCGCAGCTTCTGATTCTGTGAGTCTGGGGTCAGGCCGAAGAAGTTGCAGTTTTAGCCATTCCCAGATGCTGCCGTTTTTGAGATCACACTGTGAGAACCATTGTTAGGTCATGAGGAGCAAGAACTATATGAGACACGAAGAAGACGACTCGGTTCAGCTAAAATGACTCTCTTACTTAATCTGCTAAAAGGTTGACATTGCTTCTCAGTGAGGAGTCCAGGAGACTGAGAGTGAAGCCACTTGATGACCTACACATATGTCCGTAAACTGTGTCGCCCTTCTTTTAGAACCAGGCAGAGAGGAGGGGCATCATTCTTTATCAATGAGTTAGGACCAGAGACACTGTAGTCCAGCTGCCTGGGATTGGATTTTGGGTCTGCTGCTTACTAACTTTGTGATTTGGGGCAGATAATTTCAAAGCTCTGTGGCTCATTTTACTCACTTGTAAAATAGAAATAACGTAATAGCACCTACTTCATAAGGTCATTGTATTAAATGAGCTAATATTTTTCAAGTACTCAGATCAATGCTAGGCACTCAAAATGTAATAAAAATGGAAAATTTCTGATTATAAGAACACTTTCAGTCATTGTTATGTGTAATATCTGGCTTCTGCTACCAAGGATGGACCAGATCAGGTAAATATTTTGATGAAGTATAATTTGTTGATTTTTCCTTTAATGCTTTTTGTGTCCTAAGAGACCTTTTCCTATCTCAAGATAGTGAAGACTTTTTTTCTACTGTATATTTTTCTAGAAGTTTTATGATTTTAACTTTTATTGAGTTCTTTAATACATTTCAAATTTTTGTGTATGGTGTGAGACAGGGATTGGGATCCATTTTTTCTGTGCCAATATCCAGTTGTTCCAGCATTGACAAGTAAACAAAAAGTCTATACTTTATTGAAATGCTTTGGTGGCTTTGTGAAAATTAATTAACCATATGAGTTTGGATCTATTTCTGGAATTAATTCTGTTTCATTATTCTATGTATCTGTGCTTATACCAAAATCATGGTGTCTTGATTTCTGTACCTTTATATAGTAAGTCCTGAACTCAGGTAGTGAAAGTCTTCTAATTTTGTTCTTTTTTTTTTTCAAAATTATTTTGGCTGTATTCTAGGTCCTTCGTGTATTTACATATGTTTTAGCATACTTTGTTAATTTTTATAAAATAATCTGATGGGATTTTAACCACAAATGCCTTAAAGCTGTGATCAATTTGGAAAAATGTTTACTTTAATAATATTGCATGAATATAATATATTGCTCCATTTATTTATATCTTTTATTTTTTTCAGCAATATTTTATAGTTTTCAGTGTATAGGTCATTCATATCTTCTGTTAAATTTATTCCTGAGTGCATTTTTTGTTTTGTTTTTTGTGCTAGTGTGAATATTATTGTTCTTAAATTTATATTCAAATTGTTTATTGCTAGTGTATAGTAATTGTGATATAGTAAGAGGAAAAAAACACGCATTTTTATGGCTGGGTTTGATGAAGAATGGAAAGTCATGTGTGATTGGATGAATGTATGAAGTATAACTGGACAAAAAGAGAGTATAATCTTAGCAATGCCTCTTTGTTCAGATTCTTATTGCCCTCTGGGTATGGGGGAGGACTCCTCTGGAATGAGGGTTTTATGACCTACTTTCAGAGGAGATAAATCAGAGAATTATTTTTTGACCATGCTTCAGAGGAGGAAGAAGATCAGAGAAAGAAAACGAGAAAGTCAGAGAGATATTTCTGCTTTTGTGGTTTTCTGTTTCCTTCAGCTGAAAATACTCAGTATGCCAAGGTGTCATATTTTGTGGTAGCATTTCCCACACCCCATTAACTTGATATCCTTTGATCTTATTAAATTCACTTATTAATTTTTGTAGCTTTTTGTTAATTTCTTAGAATTGTCTAGATAGACAATTGTGTTTTCTGCAAATAAAATTCTTGCTTTCAAATTTTATGCCCTTTATTTCTTTTACTTGCCTTATTGCACAGCATAATAGCCTGAGCACAATATTGCATAATAGCAGTGAGTGGTGAGAGCAGATGTCCTTCTCTAGTCTTCAGGGGAAAGCTTCCATTTGTTCACCATGTAGTATGATAGGACTATAGGGTTTTCATAGATGCCTTATATCTGGATGAGGATGTTTTTCTATTTCTAAACTGCTGAGAACTTTTATTATGAACAGGTTTTGAATTTTCTAAAGTGCAACTTCTGCACCTATTGAAATGCTTATGTGGTTTTTCTTTATTTATTAATGATTGCATTTTATATTGATTGATTCTCAAATGGTGGACTCTGTCTTGCACTCCTTGGATAAACCATACCTGGCTACGGTGTAATTTTTTTTATATATACATTGCTGAATTCTGTTTGCTAATATTTTATTGATAATTTTTATGTGTATATTCACCAATGATTTTTATCTATAATTTTCTTTTCTTGGAATGTTTCTGTTGGGTTTGGTATCAGAGTAATGCTGGATTCATAAAGAGTTGAGAAATATTCATGCCTCCTCTATTTTCTGAAAGTGTTTTTGTCTAAAGATTGGTATTATTCAGCTCTTAAATGCTTCTTTGTGAAAAGATGTTGATTGTGAATTCAATTTTTTAAATAGATACAGAACTACTTAAATTTTATATTTCTTCTACAATTTTCTTTCCTTGTGTTTTTTAAGGAGATCATTCATTTTATTTATTATCAAATGTATTGGCATAGACTTGTTTGTAATATATGTTTTTAAACCTTCTAACATCTGAAAGAATTTTAATTATATCTCTTTTAATTTCTGAATTAGGTAATTTGTATTTTCTCTTTCTTTTTTTCTTTTAAGTATAGCTAGGGGTCTGTCGGTTTTACTAATATTTTTAATGAATTAAGTTTTTCTCTTTTTTATTTCATTTATTTTCAGTCTAATTTTTATTATTTCTTTGCTTCTGTTTTTCTTGGGTTTAATTTACTCTTTTTTTTTTAGCTTCTTAAGATAGAAACTCAGATTATGGATTTTATACCTTTCTTATTTTGTAGTATAGATATTTTACATGTTAGCACATTTATGCTGTGGGTCCCATTATTACTCCCATTTTATAGATAAAGAAGCTGCGGCTCAGGGCACTTGTAACTCTTCCAGGATCAGGGGGCTAGAATGGGTCGAGCTTGGATTCCGACCCGGGCAGCTAAGCCTGCCTGTGGGCCCTTGAAAGCAAGGTGAGATGCAGGTGTTGCACCTTTGAGAGAATGCTAAGGTCAGAACCTCGAGGACTCCTGAGTGGTTTCTTCAGACACTTTCTGCACATCTCTCGGTGTGTTGTTGCCTCCAGCTCCTTTCTCCCTTTAGCACAAGCAGAATGTGTGATATCGTACGTTGGGACCACGGCTCGCACTGGCTTAGAGGGTTCAGATACATACGGGTGGCTTAGACACTCTTGACAAGCGAGTATATAAAATAAAGAAGTTTTTATGTAGCCTCCTCCATAATTAACCCCCACTCTCTGCTCTAACCCACATGGCCCCCCTTGCCTTCCTCCCTCCCTCCAGCAGAGGTGCATGGGGGGCCTGGGGTGGGGGTCTCACTGTGACTAGCACAGCAATCCTCTAGCTCCAGGGGGCTGCGGGGGACCAGGGCTGGAGTGGGGAAGTTTTCAAGGTCTGTGCTCCAGGCTGTGATGCACTGACTACTCCCTGAAGAGCCCTCTGCTCATAATCGCAGAGTTTTTGGCATGTGCTCCCTGACAAAAGAACAGATGTTTCCTACAGGAACAAAAGAACAGGGCATAACTGTTGGCCTAACGGTTCGCCACTAATAACATTGAAAGTGGAAGCAACAAGTCCTAACGAGAAGGTCCCTACAGGATCAGGAGGCCAGTGCCAGGGAATTTGGAATGGAAACGAAAGAACTCAGTGCTGCTCTTGCCCTTTAATAGGCAGCGTGTTGGGTGTTTTTTAACCTCTTCCGATAAGTGGCAACAGGATATTCTTTTTAGTTGTGTTCATGAATTTTGCAGCTGCATGGTAACGATGGCTTCGCAAGTTACCTTACAAGGTCCCAAGTCTGTGTCCGTTTCAGAGATGCACTTAGAGGCTTAGTCCGTGCTCTGCAGACCCTGCAGCATCTGCTTGCAGCCCGTGTGTTGGGGACGCCTTAGTGAAATCGCAGTTCTCAGCCAAACGAGAAACACCAGAGCAAGTTTTTCTCTCCACTGCTGGCTGGAACTTCAAAGCATGAAGAGCCCACACACAAAAATGAAAAACAAAGAGCCTTAAAAAAAGGGCCGGGCCTCAGAGCCCACCCCAAAGAGTTCAGTAGGCCCCTTGTGTTAAAAACCTTCCACCCCATACATCACGTGCCGCATGGGGTTTGGGTCACATTCCTCGAGCAGTTCCTCTGATTTTTGATCTCTGAAGAATATCCCCTTTGAGTTGTCGTTGGCTTTAGCCCAACGGAAAGACATTTTCGTCTTCATTCTTTCCCCCAGCCACTTACCCTGACTATGTTTTTCAGATTAGCAGAAATGGGTAAAATATTATTTTCAGTCTTTTAACTTCTTTTACCCATGAACTGCTATCACCAAAGAAGATCATTGTTTGAGTTTTGTAAGTTGTTATAAAAGAATACTTACAGCATCTCCTATTAAAATCTGTACTAAGTGAACATGATCTATAAAAATCTCCCCTGCAATTTCTTTTGGTCTTAGCTGAGTGACAGGCAATAGGTCCCAATGTGGCAACAGGGAAGTCCCAGTTGATACCTGTGGTCCAGCTTATACCTTGGTCCTGATGTTCTGTTTGCTGATTTTGATAATATGCTATATGACCACCCTCTCCTTAGCAAGTGTTTTTGAAAAGATTTACCATTATTCTAATAATTTATATCAAATTTTTCTGATGCTGTCAGTATACTGGTGATGTGGAAAAATGAGGAACCAAAAACTTACAGTGGCTTAAAATTTTCATAAGGTGAATCGGTTAATCAAATATATGTTTGAATCCATATTATTATTTTTTTTAATGTGGCACATTGGAGTTCATACCATTTTTCCGTATGTGTGGCTGAGGTAATATATGAAGATGTTGTTTCTAAGAAATGTAAAGGTTTTGAATTCAGTAGGGCATGTAAATAGTTGTAAGGACTCTTGTATTTGGGTTCCAAATGTAGGTTGCGTATTTGGGTTGAGTACCAGCTGGGGAACACAGAAAACCCAGGCATGATTTTGTTACTCACAAAATAATACATTCTGTGTTCCAGAGACTAAATAACAACAGTAGATACCTTTGAAAATTGGAAGAGTATGAGTTAAAGATAACTAATCTTACCGTAACATCTTAAGATGGTGGCAAAATTGAGTTCAGAGTTTCTATTATTTTTTTTTTTTAAAGGGTCAGCACAAAAGTCAGATGCATCAGTGTCTGCTGCTAAGTTTGTCTCTAATCAACTGTGTGGCTCTGGGCCACCGGATTTCTTTGCCCATGTGTCAGTTTCCTAATCTGCAAAATGGACATGAG